TATTCACCATCAAGTGCACTCTAACCTGAAAACGTCTGCTGATTCCATTAAGCTCTGTTATGATAAGAGATCTACTGATGTCAGCTTTGTACCAGGAGACAAGGTGTGGTTGTATAATCCCAGGAAGACCAAAGGGAAGTCTCCTAAGTTGTCTTCTCCATGGGAAGGCCCATACGACGTAGTGGATCATCTCTCAGATGTGACTTTCCGGATAAAATGTGGTTGACGAGGTAAGCCAAAAGTGGTGCATGGCAACAGGCTTTGGCGTTATCCTGGTCCAGGACATTTCAGTTGGGATGAAGTGGACGACAGAACAAATGACGCTGCTGAAGACGTGTCACCTGAAGAAGCCACTGTCAAAGAAGAAACTCTACTCAGTTCTGAGAAGGGAAACGGCGAATGCTCTAGTATTTGCTAGATATAGGGTAGTTTGGTATACATAAGTGGGGATAACGTGACGCGAGAGATTAATGTAATGTCTGTGTAGACAGTGAGTAATTGAACTGCAGTCAGAGAGCACGAGAGACGTTACAGCGTTTGTTTAGCGCGATTGTTGAAGTTGAGTGTATCGGTAAAGTTATATTCGGAAAGAATAAACTAGTTTTATTAAGAAAGGACTTGTGTCGCTTAAGTTTCGTCGGAACGAAGTTACGGAAAGTTAATTAACAAACGGAGACGTAACATTATTTTATTTTAGGCAGAATTGAAGTAAATTAATCTATGACTAGTATGAGACCTTGGGCGTGGTCAAATGCAACAATCGAAAGGGTTAGACCTCCAGAGTCCAAAACTGTAATTAGATCTCAAATCGTTCAAGAGATGACGGAGCTATGAGCTAAAAGTTTGTACTTGAAAAAATATCGGAGCCATTTTATGAACCGCTATGCCGCGGTTAAAAATGCGATAAGCACAGTTAATTTATTTTGCCATTTTTCTTTAATCGTCACAAATTCTGTATCGTTTTGACGAAAAAAATTAAACAAAGAAGACTTCTGAAAATAACCAACAATCATGAAAAAAAGAGTGCAAAGTTTCTTTCAAAGAGATAATATAAAAAAAGAAAGAGCACGGCCTCATCTTTTCTTTTTTCGAAAACTCCGGACGCTAAACATTTTTTTTTCTTTTTACTTGGCCTTAAGCCTAATTATTATTTTTTTCACTAATAGATAAGCTTTTTCGAACGCTGCCTTCTCGTTTGTCATAAAACAGATGGTGCTCAGTGTGTTATGTTTACGACAAACTTTGTACGTCATAAAACAGAAATGGTGCTCAGTGTTTTCCGTTTACGACAAACTTTGTACTCATTCCATCAAATCATAGGGTGTAGCTTTTGTGACGTTTATTTGCACAAGCCCAGTAGTGCAGTACAGGTTGTTTGCAAATGTTATTTCAAGATGCCTGTTATGTGAGAGCTGCGTATTATTATTAGTTAGTGCAATATTTAACAATGACGTTGAAGTGTTTTAAGCCTCTTGTTTCTTTGTGAGAATGTAGCCGACTCGAGTGCTTATGTATCAGAGATTTGTTTGTTGAATTTACTTTAAAATTTCTTGAAATATTGAAGAAAATTATCTTTGCAATAGGCCGTCGCATAAATCTAAATTAAATACATGTGTAAAGCTATGTAATTGTAATATAAAAATTAGAAATTATTAGCTGTCGTTTTGTAATATAAATTTCAGTTGATTTGAAAGTTGAACTCAAAATACCACACCAACTTCATTAGTAAATTATTATATAAACTACAAAATATTCCTGATAAAATGTCATAGAATTCAAAATACACATAACTGCCCTAAATTAAAATAGAAAAAGTGTGTATATTGTAATAACGTACAGGAGCTTAAACTACAGTTAAATACCACAACAAGGTACAGTAGTACTAGTGCTAGTAGAAATAAGACAACTTAAGATGGTAGGTTAACGAAACACTGTATTCTTACTATTTTTTAGTGTAAACTACAAGTTTACTTACCGGGGTTAAAACACGAAACACTTCTTGCAGAATCCCGCGTATATCATCTACAGAACATAATACATGGGTAGAGACTACTGCATCAATACTGTTATCTTCAATTTCAGTCATAGCTTCTGCATCACACAAAAAGAAATTCTCCAATATTATATTTGGAAAATTTTGTTTTTTCTCATGAAAATTTTTCTGGAAATACGTACTTGGGTCGACTGCAATGAGACGTGTGTTATCTGGGTAAAATTCAAGGTTGGATCCACTTCCAATACCAATTTCTACAACTCTCAGCACTCCATCACCTTTTTTCCGTAGTTCTGGATCACTGGATTTCTGTTCTCTCAATTCATTGAATAATTCATTTTTATCTGTAGCAAACCATTGATCGAGTTTAGGCCCAACAAACTTTAAATAAAACCAGAAGAACCATAACTCTTGACTTTTTTTGCTGTACTTGAGAAATAAAAAAGATAGCACTATCAAGCCTAAAATTAGAAAAAACAAATACGTGAATACATATTGAAAAAACGAGACAACGATCATTGTAGAAAAATTAAAATGAATTACAGCTGTTCACATCCGCTCCTCAGTTCCTTTAGCAAACAGACGCTACTACGATCTACTCTCACGATAGTTTTACCGACGAACAGATAAAGTACTGTGGCGCAAGAGTAGATATGACGGACCATTTGAGACAAAACAACATTGAAATTTGAATAACGTTGATGTATTGAGCATATTCCATTGTGTCTGTGATCACTACATTTCAATAATTTAAAAGTATGTTTGGTCAGTATATAGACTGATGAAAATCGTTTTCAGATATCTGTTGTTAAACTTCTTGTTTATTAATATAATAAAACAGTTTTTTTTTTTTTCATTTTGAAACAAATTGAAGGAGATGTATTTCTAATTAACTAGCATTATTTTATTAAATCAAGATAAATGTTTTATATTCTGTAACTAATTTTAATTTTGACTAATAAAATCATATCACAATAACTGTTTTTTGTTAGGTCAAAGCCACACAATTAGCTATCTATCATCAGTGGGTATTGAATCATGAATATTAGCGTTAAAAGTCCTAAGCTTCGTGCCGAGCCCCTGGGGAACATATTAGAATGAAATTTTCATTTGTATCCAAACTGATCTTTTCTTCAATCCAGATATGAATACCGTCACATTCTTTTTTAATTAAGTAATTAATGTTTAAATAAAGATTTCGGGCATTTTTTGTGTCATATTCTACAACACACTTATTTTCATTTTATTGTAATGAGCTTCATTTTACTTGATGTATTTAAACGAAAATGCTTTGCTAGGTTAATATTTTACCTTGTAACGTTTATAGTCTTGTTATGTTTTATTATTATTTTGAAAATTGGAGATTAACCCGTATTAGTATCTGCTTGTTTGATAATTTCCCGTAAAAATTCTTTCCGAGAAACTTCAGCAATACAAGTCCTTTCTTAATTAAAACTAGTTTATTCTTTATCGTTACAAACTTTGTAATACACTTAATTTCCACAGTCACTTTAAACTTTTATAAACACACGCTATAATTCACAGCGATCCACACACTTTACTTCCGGTGCCTACTGCTCGCTTGACTCAATTATCTGTCTCCATATCTGTCTATCTTCAATCTTATCTCCGCTTTATTTGCCGGGTTTATATACAAAAAAAGAATAAATAGAGGGCGCCTAGAACAGACTAGAGTTGCCAAGAAAAGTCAAGATCCTTAAGGAATCTCACAACGTGTTACAAGCGTCACGTGACTTCCGCTGTGGTAACACAATGTTGTACCTGATGATTACAAAACCTTGTCGAAACGTTGTACATTTGCTGTTATGTTAAACTTATATTAAAGTTTTTCTTCATTATCCATTCAAGCCGTCTCCAGCCATTATTAATAATTTATGTTATCACACAATCTTGGTTCAGTAATTTTTCACTAGATGACAGCACGCTTTTGTGCATATTCACAGCTGCTAAGTTTAGTTACAAAATCGACTTAATCTGCCCAAAAACATTGAAAGTGTAGCCTGCTGCAGATTACCCCTAGATCAGCTTTGACAAGAAAAAACAAATAATTTTTACAATAACTTACAGATTATATTTTCGCCAGTTAACGCGATTATTCATAGATCAAGTTTGTATGGGTTGATTATTTGAATCCAATATTGCCAAGACATTTTGAAACAGTTAAAAAATTGGTTTCTTCTAAGTGGTAAAAATAATGTTACATATCTGCTTGTTTATTTGTTTCCGGTAGAAATTCCTTCTGAGTATCTTCAGTGATACAAGTCCTTTCTTGATTAAACCAGTGTATTCTTCCTTGATACAAACTGTTAGTATACAGTAGTTCCATAATCAGTACGTTTCTCGTCACTTTAAACTTAAAAACTTTTATAATGCACGCTATAAATCACAGCGATTCACAATCTTGATAACTTCGCTCTCGACGAGTGCAAAATACACACTTTACGGTTCACTAGCTCAAAACTAACAGAATCGTAAATTACACGGAACTCAAAGTAACTACTGCTCTCTCTCTCTCTTCACTAACTTTTCCATGCTGGCTTTCACTGCCAGGCTTATATACTAACAAAGAGAGCCTCTCCAACACACTCGGACTTCCCCGATCATTCGAGAAACTCATCACGCACCAGCAGCGTCACGTGACTTCCGCTGTCGTAATACTGCCCTTCCTTAGTATTCTTCGTCCAGAACAATAGCCACTTACATTAAACCAACAGATAATTAACAATAACTTAATTAAATGTACAGAATTTACAAATACAAAATTAAAATACAACAAAGTCTCTTAATTTTACAGGACGTTTCTTCTTCGTACTTGTCTTCGTCTCATTGGCTTCTGCTTCACGTGGGATTCATCTGCTCCATCAGGAAATGTCCCATTGTCAGTATCAGTCACACTAGTGGTAGTACCTTCATTAATGGCTTCACTGTTTTCCCTCTCAAAACCAGGTAGAGTTTTTTCTTCAACAGTGGCTTTTTCAGGTGACACGTCTTCAGCAGCGTGATTTGTTCTGTTGTTCATTTCGGTCCAACTGAAGTGACGTTGTCCTGGTCTTTCGTATGCCAAACAACTTGCAGCATTCATGGAACACAGCTGATTCAAAGTTACGGCCTTAATCTGAATGCAGTTCGTATGGCATACCAAACCTGTAGAAAAAATCACTAATAGCCGAAGCTACAGTTGTTGCTTCCTGATTTGGTATTGCATATGCCTCAGGCCACTTGGTGAAATAATCCATCATCACACAAACGTACTTGTTTCCAGCACGAGTTTGGGGCAATAGACATGCAAAGTCAATGGCTACTCTTTCCATTGGTGCACCAACTTAATATAACTTCATTGTAGCACGTCCCTTATGCTTGGGTCCCCTTTTAGCACAACATGTACTGCAGGTCCTGCACCATCCTTCCACATCTTGCCTCATACCTATCCAGTAAAATATCTGTCGTAAATGACTCAATGTCTTCTTAACTCCGAAATGTTCTCCTCTTAAAAAACTATCATGGGATTGAAGCAGCACAACTTCCCGTAACTTTCTCGGTATAACTATTTGCCAGGTCGTCACTTAACCATCTCCAGACAAGACTACCATATTCAAGCTTCAACTGGTTCCATTGTGCCCAATAGTTCTTTATCACAGGGCTTAAGCTAGAAACCTTCTCCCAAGCAGGGCGCAAAACACTTGCTTGTAGAAAATCAATTATTGGCTTCAAATCTTAATCTTTCTCCTGTTCTGCTTTAACATCTATATTTGGTTCTACTTCACCATCATCAACTTCTTCAGTCACTTTGACTTCAGCTTGATGTCACCTGGTTAGTTCAACCTCTCTTTTGCAACAATGCCTGCAGTCATTTGTGCAGGGTCTTTGGCTAAGTCCGTCGGCATTTCCATGAGATTTTCCTGGGTTAATCAACAAAGGAGTTGTATCGCTGAAGCTGCTTGGAAAGAATTTATACCGGAAATTAACAAACAAGCAGATATGCAACAAATTAGTGTCAGAGAGTGAGACGCAAAAGAAAAAAAAAGAATGGAAACGAGAAATGGCATATCAAAATACAACTTAGCAGATCTGATGGCAGCAATACAAAAACAGTAAAAGAAACAAGAAGAACGAGAAAAGAAACAAGAAGAGAGACAACAGCATGGCAAGAAAACCTGCAACAGTGGCAGCTCGAACAGCAAAATAAACAAGAAGAGAGATTACAGTATTTGATGGAAGAAAAAGAAACAAGAAGAACCAGAAAAGAAAAAAAAAGAAGAGAGAAACAGTAGTGGCAGCTCGAAAAGCAAAATAAACAAGAGAGACTTCAGCAGTGGTTGGAGGAGAAAGAAAACAAACAAGAAGAGAGACTACAGCAGTGGTTGGAGGAGAAAGAAAATACACAAGAAGAGAGGCTACAGCAGTGGTTGGAGGAGAAAGAAAATACACAAGAAGAGAAGCTACAGCAGTTGTTATAGGAGAAAGAAAATAAACAAGAAAAGAGACTACAGCAGTAGTTGGAGGAGAAAGAAAATAACCAAGAAGAGAAACTACAGCAGTGGTTGGAGGAGAAAGAAAATAAACAAAAAGAGAGACTACAGCAGTGGCAAGAAAACTAGTACCAGTGGCAACTGGAAGAAGAATTGAATACATTAAAAGACGATTTACTGTCCTTTACACAGGAATAATATATTAGCCAAGAGCCTAATTAGCCCCAGACAACAGGAAGCTCCTTGCAGACCCTGCAGCTAAACCCTAATGCAGACATATTCAGTCCTGCCAGAAGTCACATTCCAGACATGAGTGTCAGCAATAGGGGTGATCTAGTACGTAGGAAGCCACGGGAATTCGATGGGAAGGCACCTTGGGAAGCATATAGAGCACAATTTGAGCTCCTGACAGATATGAATGGATGGACAGTGGAACAGAAAGCGGTGTACTTGGAAACGAGCCTGAATGGACAACCACTGGAAATACTTGGACAGTTGTCCAAAGTCTACAGGGCTAGGTTTAGGACTAGAGTTTGTGCTAAAGGGGAGAGCCTGCAAGAGCTGGCACAGGATTTGGAAAGTATGGCACACAAGGCCTACCCAACTGCACCACCCAATGTCCTCAAGCTGTTGCTGAGGAATCAGTTTGTAGACGCCTTGGACAGTCCACAACTGAAGTTACAAGTAAAGCAAGCACACCACTCTACTAGTCAATAATAAGGCAAGAAATACAACCATCAAGAAAGGACATTCTCTCCCAGAACATTTAACTGACCTCTATAAGAAGAGCATAGTCCATTTGTCATCATCACAGGACTCTTCAGGTTAGGGAACATATGGCGAATTATGCAAACGTCTTTTCAAAAGGAGATTATAACCTTGCCTGCACAGACATTGTGGAGCACAGCAATCACTGTCCAATAAAGATCCCTCGGAAGATAATAGCTCCGGCAGAGCGACAAGAGATAGAGAAGGTAATGTATGGCCTAATTAAAGAAGGGATAGTCGAGAAATCAGATAGTCCGTGGTCAGCTCCCGTCGTGTGGCCTTCAGAGCTCTTAACAGTATAACCGATAAGGACTCATACCCC